GAAAACAGAAAGGCCATGAACAGAGTTGTAACCCAGGATGAATAACTCCTGGAAGAAGGCAACCATTTGGTAGTTTGTAAAGATATTTGTGTTTACACAACAAATTCATTTTCCTACTTGCTCTCACTGTTACCTCCTGGTACAAGCCACAGGCCCCACAGTGTTTGAGCACAACATCCTTTTAAATTTTCGTTCCACAACACACGTGGCAGAGGGATGTGGAGAGGCCAGAAAGGCGTTGATGCTTTGACTTCAATCTTCTTTGATCTATAGGTGAGGAGGAACAAGCTCCAAGATGTTCACATCCATGAAAGCGTTCAGGAAAACCCAGGCAAATACATTAAAAGTTCCTCTGAACCATGCAGGCATCTTCAACACTTACCCAAAGACAAAATTGGAAGGGAAAAATAAAAAAAGGTGTTTTTTTCTTGCAGTTTAATCCCTTGTTGCCATTAAATACTTCTAGTCTTGGGCACTGGAATCATCCACTCCCAGTTACCATCTTCTGGCTTTGTCTCTTTAGTACCTGCCTGGTTGGTGTAGCTGATCTCAGGGGCAATAGGATGGGCTACCTCATCATTCCCAGCGGAGATGTAAGAGCCAGGTGACAGTCACCCACTCCGCTCATCTTAGATGCAATAGATTATCGACCATTTACTTAATCAGGATGTCACACGCATACACAAAAAAACCCCAACAATTTAACACACGGCAATTAGAAACAATGACTGCTTTTTAATGGGGCCTGTAATTCTGCTCAGGCTGCTGAATCCATTCACTGTCTGTATGACTTCCCTCTGGCCAAATATTGAAGATCACACACGCCGTCTCTGCTGGCCTTTTTAATGAAATGAATACTTTTGCCAATCAATTCCTCAATTATGCCACGCAAACAGAATGGCTGCAGTCATTTAAGTCCTAGAGCCATTCATGCTCAAAACAGTGACTTCACCATTCACTACACTAAAATAAAAGTAAAAAAGAATAAAGTATCCCAAAATTTCAGGAGTTAGTCAGAGTTCAACTTTATATTCTCCTAATAAACATATAAATCAAACGTGTAACTGCAGGGTAAAATGCTAAATTCTCAGTTATTGACGAACGCACTCCTAGAATACTTTACTAAATGGCACTGGTTTGATTCATATAAAGAAAATCCAAACTATTGATTTTGCTTAAAAAGCATTTTAGAAGTCCCTCGAAGTGCAGACAGCTGAAATAAGTTATGAAGTGCATGGAAAAAACCTTAAATAAAGAAGAAAGAGACCCAGCCAGGCAGAGATAGCAGGAGGTGGCAATTTATGGAGCTTTTGTCAGTCCCACTGAAGCAGCACCAGCAGTGGGGACACAGCCAGGGCGAGACACGGCTGTGTGGGCTGCTACGGTCCATACTGTGACAGTCCAAAGATCACAACAGCAAATTCAAGACTGACAATATTCGGCTCTAAAACCTGCACAAGCTTTTCCATCAGGCTTTTACCTGAGAACAACGCTCTTTAAAATGACACTGATCTTCACATCTGACACAAGTGTATTTTAAATGGTAAATCAGAGGTGGATTTTCAGGCTAGAGCTTCAGGAAATTCCTATATGCTTTGTCTCCAAACCTGTCTCAGCTGGACACACTGTGCTAGCTCTTCTACTAACATCAAAAGAGTTGTACACATACTTTTTTTCCCCCTCACCATTAATTGCCCTTAATCTAGGGATGACTGTCTGTAATGTAGGATCATAAGGTCTTTATTTCTGGAAAACACATCAGTTTTTTACAGATACAACACAGTTACGAAAGTCTTGTATCACAGGGATATGCATGTTAATAAGAATACAGAAGGTACAGCTCTCCCCTTAAATTTCCCTTAGTTCCCATGGAAACACAACACTTGCTTCCTATCTTGCAATGCTGCAAGATGCAGTTACACACTCATTAAAAAAAAAAAAAAAACCTAAAAGAGCTTTTCCCAGGTTTTTAAGCAACTTCCCCTGACCCCTATTCACTGGGACCACTTGGCTCAAAGAGACCCATTAAAGCACAGCATTAACCAGGAACTTTTTGGAAAGACAGCTCAACTGTTTAGGGCCACACTGAGGCTATGCTGACACTAGTCAGGTGGTGACACTAACAAGACGTTACTGCACTACTTGTTCATGGTTTTACCATCAATACAGCTGTCTCGAATGCATATTTTGCACTGTATCTTCTAAGGACTGTTGTCTGCTGCCTGCCATAGTTTTGCATGCTCTACAGTCATTTACAACTACAATTCAATTTCAATTTCAACACCATTTGTAGGAGAAGCAGCTTCAGTACAACTTACCTGGGGATAAGTTGCTCATGAATTTAACTTCTGCCTTTATTTCTGAAGGGGACAGAAACGATGGTTGAGAAAGAAGAGATAAATCCCAGACAAGAAGAGATGATGTCTCCATTTGCTACACAGAAATGTATGTATCATGGGAATTTGTTACCACAGACAGAAAGATACCAGTCTTTAGAAAGATGGGCTACACAAAACATGCAGATTCTTGAAAAGGGGCTGCTGCATTCCTTTTCTCCCGGTGCCTTCCGTATGCATTGGGACTCGCAGCCTAAACCAAAGCTTGCTGTAGTCACCAGGATGCTTCCTTTGATTTCCATTTCTTTTCACAGTTTGCACAAGGCAACAATTTCTCTCTTCCCAGGATCATAGATCTGTTAGCAATGATTACAGCAGAGCTGTAGCAAGCTAACTGAATAGCTGACAGAAATATCATTTTCATTCTAAAATTAAAAATATCAGACAGTCTTATGGGGAATGGCAAGAAAGCCACAGTGAGCACTGAATAAAGAGTGAGAGAAAAAAGTGCTAGACAGTCATAGTACACTGTACACAAATGTGCCCTATTAATATAAAGATTTCTCAATTGCAGTAATTTTTTAAAGTATCATATCCCTTTAGATATAATAACTAAACTAAGGGGAATTATATCTAGTGGACTATTTCTAAAAGAGCTGAAAAATATCCAACAGGATAAATGTACAAAAAAAGGGCTTATTATTATAGACCATGGGTGTAACACCAAGAAGATTCCTGGAAAATTTGGGGGATGGGTGCCCGATTTGGACAATTAGAAAAGCTGTGTTTCAGTCAGTCTTTGGACACTCAAGATACAAATACTGGAAAACGGAATTTTCATCTCTATTTGGTTTCTTTAGAAAATGCTCTTCCCTGCTCCCTAAGTATGAACCTCCCCCCTCCAATAAACTAAAATCTCCCACAGTTCTTTTACTGAACACATCTATCTGCTAAATCAAAAGTGTCTAGAATAGTTACTTCATCTACATGCTGCTTCATAAGAATGCTGCTGCTACAGTGCTCTAGCACTTCATCTTGCTGAAATTTTAAAGATTTCTTTTACATTCTTTATATATGAAAAAGATGATAGACTGCTTACTGGAGAAGCAAATATGAATTCTATCCTTCCTCAAAACAAAACAAAACCTTTGTTAAACTGACATAGACTTCAGCTTTCTAGTTCTTACTTGCTATCTGTAAAACAAAAAAGTTTGGAAGGGCTTCCTGCAATGAGAAACTTCAAAGTATTTGTTTTAATTTCTAAGCTTGAAATCGTCCTTTCACACAAGCCCAGCACACACCCAGTTCCGCTTTCCTAAGGCCCTTGAATCTTCCAAAGAAAGACCTAAGCCACAGTGCATGCAGATTGATGCTGGGAAAAAAAGCACAGCTTCTTTTAAACACTGCAGGTAATTAGCTATCGAGATAACTTACCAAGGAAAGTCCATTAACACAGAGTCATTAAATCAAATTTTCATGGCCCTCTGTAAAAGATCCACCCTGGTACAACCACAAGGCCAAGGCTCTGGAGCTCGCAGTCGCTCAGAGCAGGAAACTCTCTTCGCTCCAGAGCCGCGAAGCGACGGCCCAGAAGCGCCACAGGCCTCGAGGCCTGCGGCGCCGCGAGGCCCTTCCACTTGGCCACTGCTTCTGTCACCGTTTCAAAAGCCACACTTTCTCTCACTGAGACGCTCAAAGCATTCCTCATCACCTCACGGGAGCAGAGGGAAAGCTGACCCACCACTAACCTCTTGAATGGGCCAAATACACAAGTCCTTTCAGGACAGTCACTTCCATACACAGAGAAATGACTAGGGGGCTTTTAGCAAATTCAAACCACCCAGTCTTTTGATCACTCAAAAAAATTCTTACGGGAAATAATTCTTCTCTGGAGATCTTCAAAACCCGCTTGGATGCGGTCCTGTGCCACGTGCTTTAGGTGACCCTGCGTGTGCAGGGGGGTTGGACTAGATGATCTCTAGAGGTCCCTTCCAACCCTAAGCATTCTATGATTCTATGAATCTGCAACCAAATTCAGTTAATACATGAACTATGGAACAGCCCTTCCTAATTCACTGAATCAAAATCATTTCAGGAAAGATCCTTCATGGTGGATGCCTCTGATGCCCACACAAGGCTTAGTCAGGACCAAATCACTCAAAGTCCTGAAGAACCCTGACCTTCTACCCAATCCACAGCAGGCAGCTCAAGCAACACACGAGCGATTAAAAGTAAATTCATACGCCCTATGAAGGGCAAAACAGCAAAACCATGCTTGAAATTATCAGTAGTCACTGATTAGGACATCTTACCAGAATATGCTATGTACATGTGTAATGACAACTGCACTCTTCAAGGGCCTTGTTATCAAACAATTATCAGCAGGCACTGTTATAAACTATTTACTCATGCTAATATTTCAGATTTATCTAAAACCTTGGCATCTAGATTTAATGTATTCTAGATAACATTTTACTAAAAAAAATATATATATATCTGCACAGTAAACACATCAGTAAAACAAGCCTTTTTCAAAACAGATTTCAGGAAAACAAATTGCCCCTCCACATTCTTACCTCCTTCACACTAAGGGAGTTTTGTCACTGTGGTATTTCAGGTTTTATAGCTATAAAGAAAAAGATTTTTTTCCTTCGAGCACGTTTAGCAAATCTTAATCTTTATTGACAAATTAGTAACAAAAGATACATTGCATCCTACAGGTTCTCTAAAGAATTTATGAAGACTTGACATTAGTAGCTGACCCATTTACAATATACAACAAGGGAAACAGATTGCGAAACAGCAAACACTAGATATTTTCAGTGCATATTCCAGGAAAAAAAAAAAATAAAGAATCATTTTTCTTGCCTTGCAGTTTCTCACCCTCCCAATACAGGCCTGTAAATTCACACGAGAGGCAAGACAATCCCAATCCAATCTTAAAATGTCTCAATCATTCAGTCTTTCTCCTTGACCCAACTTATCACTTATCTTCACAGCTCACAGCAGTTTCTTCAGGATCCTCTGTCTTAAATTTTTTATGAGATGGCTCTCTGGGGAGGAGAGACATGCAATGCTCTAAGGATCGTGCAATTTCATCAATTGTCCATTTGTCTTCATGAAGTGCATGCTCCTCTAGCGTAAACGGCCCCTGCTTGGTTCGGGTCAGCTCTTGCACACTGGCACAGGTAGAGAGTTCTGTAGGAAAAAAGAGAGGATTCAGGAAAAAATGAAGGGCTAATTTATCTGTTTGAATTCATTTACAATGCCTTACAATGCCAATGCTTTATACGTAGCCTTCTATATTACTCTCTCTGTATGAAAAGGAAGTTGATGAAGATTCTTCACTCATTTACATCGTTTTAAATCAATCTGAGGCAAGGGAATCTTCCTTTGATTTCAATAGATCTTCGCTTCGTAAGTTGTAAGGAGGTTTTCCAGATTTAAATCATAAAGAAACAGTGGAAATGAGGACATAAAAGCAGAGCACACTGTATTCACAAATGACTTAGAAGCCCATAAGCTATTTTTCCACAGACTTTGAGGCCTTCACACACAAGAGCTTAAATCTTGCCTTTAAAAAAAGGACTCATATTTTTATCCTGTGCCATCTATCAATATAAACAGAGATGAGGGAAAAATCCAAAATACAAACACAAATTTTAATCCCAAATGGATTAAATAGATACCACTAGGACAGCTCCATAATGAGGGGTTACAAAAGATAACACCTGGAGCAAACCTGAAAGAAGAGAGGCCTAAAATTTAATACTAAAATATTATCTCTCATCCTCTCAAAATGTAGAAGGCTTTACTGCATTTCAAATGTATTTTGTCAATTGAGGATAAATTTTATCTTAGTTTGTCATTAAAGGACTAAACAGAAGCCAGTACGATCAGACAGCAGTAACAGAAAGTGAATCTTCAACTTGCCTAAGCACAAACAACTGCATTGAAATTCAGAGGGTTCTCCCACACCACTTGTTTTTGGATCTGCAAATGTATCATTAAAAAAAAAAAGAATGGACTATCTGCTCTCCATTATGCAGTTTGATAGATATAAAGTACAAGACAAATGACCCTGTGGGAAAGCAACACTATTCACAGTTCAGGTAAAGGAGAGAGAAAAAGCTTAAAAAAAAATCACAAATTGACAAGTCTCTCCAGCAGACAGTTTTATTATGTGCATCATAATGCTCTGTACAATCTGTTTTCAAAATGTGATGAACAACGTTTAAAAAGACAGTATCTTTCTCCTCACCCTTAATCTGACTTAGTTTTAACACAGGGAGAAGAAAAGGAAAACTTAAAACTTTTGTATTACCTTAATCAGTGACCTGTTCCATTTCTACTCACTCTTAGTGCCCTTGGGCAATTATTTAACCCTTTTTTTCCCCCCATATTACAAAGCAAAACACCCCAATAAATAAAAATGAATGAAAAAATGACAGCAGTGCAACACTGCAACATAGCACCTAAGTCTGGTGTCTGGAGATACATAAAGTGACATGATTTTTCCATTAACAGAAACATTCATTCCTTAAGCTGTCACTGTTTTTTCATGCCTACCTTTGCCAATGTCGCTGACCAGGCTCCTGACATAAAAGCCACCACCACATTCGACATCTGGAATGTTAATAGTGACATGGTAAATTGCCAGGGCAGTATGAAATCTACTTTACATAGAAACCATGTCCCCAAACAAATGTAAGAATGCACTAAGCAAACAACCGGTGATAAAATATTTATAGGATACAACATCAATTATTCATCCTGTAACATATGTGTGGGTGAGATTGCTAAGCTAGAGAGGAGAGAGAGCAAATACAATGGCAACTGAACTCACCAGAAATTATGTACTTGCTGTGGTATGTGAATAAATGTTGCCATCCTGTTCATTTTGAAGATTTCAAACAGTTGTTTCATCTTGCTACCCATTAAGTTATTTCAAGTACTAGCCTAAGCTGACTACCAAAGCTTTTAAGATAGTGTTGTACAATTGTGATACAAGCTGCCCCAATAAAAGCTGATGATGTTTTAAAATTCACTTTTAATTTCCCCTGCTTTCTCTCAACTTGTCCCTTCCCCCTCTGCCAATGATCACCCAACCATAAAATAAGGGTTGAAGCAGCACAGCACCGAGCTCTGTCACTCAGACCTGCTCCTCACATAACATTTAGTCTGGAGGACTAGGGAAGGGCCAACTGGGTAGTTCTCGAGGGCATAAGATGTTGACCTCACAGTAGCATCAAACATTAATAAAAGACTCTTTGGTTCACTTGTCAATGTGCTTTCAAGTTTCTCCAGCTATGGCAGAAGGGAGGATAAGATCCTGCCTTGCCACAAGAGTTCTGACAGCAACTGATATTGGCCCTTGCTACACCTGGGAAAGACACCAGCAGCTCTGGGAACCCAGGCAAAAGAAAGGGTGAAGTGAAGAAAGCAGACCTGGGAAAGGAGAGGCGAGCTGCAGGTTGTGCAATCATGGACAGATGCAAATAATCCCCCGATCAGAATTTTCCCTCACAGAAAGATTACAAATAATCAGCTTAACGTAAACCCAAAACACGGTGCTTTTACTGCAGAGTGGAAGTCTCTGCACGTAGGTTTACCCCAAAATAAGTAGCTAAGGGAACCAAAAACCATTTCATTATTTTAGTCCCAATCTGAGTGTAAATAAAGCTCTAACAAACAAGCTGGGAGATTTCATCACTCTATGAAATCAGTTTTGGCTTTTACCCAGTGTGAACAGTGGCGGCTGGAAGTGTTGGAGAGAGAGACTGTACACTCTTACTGGCCGAGCAGGCTTTGCTTCAACTGCTTCTCCTCTCTTCATCAGAGATGATAGCCTCTCTCCATCCTTCTTCAAAGCAGAATAGCTGAGCAGATAGAGCACAAAAACGTGTCCTACGTTTGCAATATTAATGCAGTATTACAATAGGATACCTTTTGCCCTTCTAATCCTCTCCAAGAACTCTTGAAAAAAAAAAATGTACCAAGTGTTGTTGAAATCTTCTGAACGCCGAATAATCTCATTTAGCTGCTGCTAGCTAAACTGGAAAACAAGACCTGATCCTGTATTTATTCCTTGCTGCATCAATTTAGAAGTGCTTCATCACTTGATTTGTTCTTTATGAAAGCAAAGGGACTCTATCAGGGGCAAAAGGAGTACAGCATTTGTAACTGCCACAAATCGGTTGCCTCTCACAAGCCTGCAGGTCACACGCTGTCTTGGTGCTACGTTAGCACTGGGAGCTGAAAGCTGCTCAGGCAACTTCCCTCCTCTAACTCTGCCTTGTGTCCCCTGGCTCAGTTCAGGGTCTTCCCCCAAGTGAACTGTAACCTTGTTCTAGGGTGTTTAGAGGAGCAGTGCCAAATGAAAAAATGAAAATCCTGCTGATAACAGGAGACCTTATCCAAAGCTCCAACTCAAGCTCTGAAAGATGATCGTTTAAAAAAAAATCTTATTCAAATTACCAGCAGGCTAGGAAGCAGGTCAAACAGAACTCATGGAATAACTGACCTTACAGCACTCACAGTGGAACCACAGTAACTGACCCGTTGCAATGCAAAGGAAAGCACATTAGCTTAAATCACCATAAAAGCCATCTGCCTCTTACCACCTTACCATGGCTCACCTGACTAGAAGAAATTTGTTAAACTAGGAAAGTCTAATCAGTAATTTGAACATACAGTTTTCAGAAAGCTAATCTGAAAGGCACTTCTACCCTGATTCTACCCCACATCTAAAACAGAAGATTCAAAGCTTTCCCTTCTAACTAGAGGGCAGAGCAGAACTCCATAATCACAGCAAAAGCTGTTTAAGACTCCTGCTTTGCTTCGCAATTTATCAGCAAAACAGACTCCAGGTGACCATTTGTACTCAATATTTAAATCAGCATGACCTGCAGTTGCAAACGTATCAAGTTAAACCCCAAAGTCTGCCTAGCACCTATCCTGTTGCCAAAATACACCTTTTTTATTTCTGACAGTACTGACTTCTGGCAAGTCCTGACAGCTCAACACTGTTCTGGAGAGTGTCTGAATACTGCAGAACTTACAGTGGAGGAACTTGCATTATGTCCCCTGTGAACTTTTGCAACACGCTTTCAAGATCTCCTTTTGTTACCTTATCTGTAGGAAGAAAACAATAAGTGTGTTAGCATTGATTATTCACATGGCACTAATGGCATCAATCATGCTCTGCAAAGAGATACAAAGAGGTCCCTCTGCTTTGAATTTAGATTCAGCAAAGGATGCCACAAGAAAGAGAAAAAGAACAGACTGTAAGTAGGAGTGTGAGCTATTGCAAAAAGAGTGAACAAACTGTCCAAGGTGATTAAGACAGTCTGGACATTTCCAAAAGGGCAGAAATCTCCACATACATGATTATGTTTTGCAATTTCTCTCACTTCAGACTACTATTCATTTTTATGCGAATTACACAAAACTACAAGAATTGTCCTATTCTAATTTTTAAAGGATGAATGAATAAAAAGCTTATCTAACCTTTGCAGCTTCTCTTTAAGAGTACCTAACTGCAAGGGAAAGATACACACGTTATTAGAGAACAAAACCACTGTTTTTTGTTTTCTTTTCTCTCTCTGGCAAAGACTGCAACTGTAAAAACACATCAAATTTCCCTAGCTACGAAAATATCTAACATGCAGATGCTTACATATTAAATACGAAGCTTTCTTCATTTTATTGAAGAAAGCCTTTAAAGAGAAACACCCACAATCTACTCTTTAGAGAACAAATACACGTGCTCCCTTTTACTGCAAGGCTATAACTCAGGAAGATGACTGTGTTTGTCTCTTGAAATACTATTCAATAAAATGGCATTAATTCCCTATTTGTTAGGGAGCACAAGCCCAGGATCTGTAATCACAATGAACTTCAGTGACTGGTTATTGGTCTTGATTAGTTACATTTCTCATAAATTATATTCAATTAGCGTTACCCTACTGAAGTCAACAGCACCCTGCAACATAAAACTTATCTATCGACCCTTTATGATAGGTTATTCTACTTGGAGCAGTCCTCTACTCGAAGCTCCCAAAAAGCACACGTACCTCTTGCCACAAGTAAAAACGAAGAGGTTTCTTTCTACTGTGATTTTTAAAGGCAGCAACGTGGTATCTCACTCTCACAAAGCACAATTTGCAACCTCAAGGGCAGATGCTGTCCCCGGTCCCATCTGTCTCTCCCTTGCACCTATTCTCAAGAAGTGCCATTAACAGCAAGGTCACAAGGCTCATAAATCAGTCAAGGGTGCTGAGAGAAAACAGCACACATCAAGATATGGAGAAGAAATGTCAAAATCTTTCATATAGCAAGTCTGAAGCTTCTTCTGAAGAGCTTCTTTTTGAAGAGTTCTCTCACAACCTTGCCCTGCATACTACTGTGGGTCAGCAAGGTGCCACACAAAAATCACAATGTAAAAAGTTAGCCTGACTCTGCTTTGTGTTCGAGATCGTGTTACCTTCCTGCAAGCCTGTTTGCTTCAGGGGCGAATTCAGTGTGTGAGATCTAAGCATGCATGTCATTTGGGGTGTCTTTCAGTTTTCACTCCATCTGTATTAAGGCATTAAATGAGACACCCAAATTCAGTTTTGCTCTGATCCTGATTCCCCTGATATAAAGGTTAACATAAAAAGATACATCTAGCCCCTAAGGTAATCATTCATGCTGTAGGCAACCTCTATTCAAGGCGGGGGGGCTTGTGAAGTATGATATATTAAGCCATTAGCAAACAAGGTTGTGAGATGTGTTATCATAGCAAATATTTATAGATGAGTTTAGGATCTAGAATAAATTGCATTTCTCCTTTAAGATATCTCATGTCTCAAGCTGGCTAGCATTAAATTCTGAAAACATGCCTCTGCCTTTGCTTTTATGAGACTGGCACCGTTTCACAGTAATTCCCGTGACAGGGACTGCCTAGGTTTGGCCCACTGGGTAACTGACCCAATCCCCAATTGCTTTTTCTCTCTACAGCTCTGCAGTTAGAGTACTGTACCCGCTCTGTGTACACACTGTTTGGTTATTCAGCAGTTATTCAGGATAGTTATTCTTCTCAACATGGATAAATGTTGACCTATTTACCTGCTACAAACCTCAAGAAAGTTAATAAAGTTACCAAAAGGTGTCAGTTGTGCCACGGCCTCAAGAAGCCTCCATCAAAAGTGACATCGTCTCACTGCTAACAAACTGTTCCAGAGGAGAACACCAGACCACAAGAATTATCCATGCCAGTTTTGTGGAGCTATAGCAGCTGACCTCAACTGAGTATGCTGCAGCATAAATGATTTGCGAACAGACAAGCAGGATGCTGAAATACCCATATTTTTGAATTATTCAAGTAGCTCTATTAAACACATATTTCAGCCAAATCAGCAGAGGCCTGGAGAAGATGCCCATGGATTCTCTTCTCCATGACCGGTTTAGGCCTGCAAGCAGCTGTGCACAAATGGTTTTCAGAATGCATGTTCCTCTGCACAGTTACAGGAGGCCTAGAGATGTTAGGCACCATCCTCCAACAGGAACACTAAACCATAGCTGCTTCCAAAGTCATCATCCATGCCAATAGCCCAGGAGCTTAAATACCTTGCAAGCTGTCTTCGTGCCCTTCCCCTGCACGTAGGCCCATACCTGGATTCTGCTGGCACTGCAGGATTCTGCATTCCTAAGCAGATGCTCAGCATCTCCAAGGATCCTTCTAGTCTGTCAAAAGGAAGCTGAAATTCAGCTCAAACATCTGCTGTGTTTATTGCAGTACTTTAGAGTACCAATTAGTATTAGTGATGGGAGGGTCACCAAGAGAATCATGCAGAAATCCAAGCTGCTTTGGAGAGCACTGGAAATCACAGATTAGTTGAGGTTGGAAGGGACCTCTAGAGATCACCTAGTCCAATCCCCTTCTCTTACACTGTTAGAAAATGAGGAAGAAAGGAAACATATCAAGAAAGAGAATGTGTTCTCCATTTCTTCCTTACGAAAAAATAGAAACTGACTTGTACCAATATGGAAAGCCACAGATGCCAACTCCACAAGCACTTCTTTCACTGGCCAGCCTCAGCAAAAGGAAACTGTGTCCTGCACCCACTGCACTGCCCTGGCAATGCCAGGGCTGATCTTCATGAGACTGCACGATGAATCAGAGCATGTAGCTGATCTCACTTTAAAAGACCCCCTTCAAAAGAAGTGGTTATTTTCAAATCAGTTCTCCAAGCCTGCTTGCCACACCATCTCACAAAAAGCCATGCCATCACAGCAGAAGACAAGGTGCAGAGGTGGTGATTACTACTACAAGTCTGGCTACTGAAAGGAACGCTCAGGAAAACTACTCTGTAAACTCTCTCTGCAGTAAGCAATGCAAAACTGAAAAGAACAAGACTAGTGTTTCAGGGACATCTGGGGTGTTCCCTCCCCTCCTTTTAAACTTATTCTGATAACGGCTACCTGAAATGATATTTATGTACAGGTATTCTAAACAAATTGGCAGTGTTGCAGAGCACCATCATGCCACTTTTGGGGGGCTATATGCAAAAGCCAGGAAACGACTAGCAAGCATCAGCAACTCTGATAGCATGCAGATGGTCAGTCCTTCAAAAGTGAGAGACAAGGAACATGATCCCGAAACAGAGATCTTTGTTCAGTTGCTTCTAAGTAACACAACTTAGAACAATGCGTCAAGGTGAGGTGGAGAAGAAACTCATACTTGCATGCCTCATGAACAAAGAAAGTGCAAGAGAAAGGACATGAGGGAAAAATACACAACAATCCAGACTACCTTTTCCATCATAAAATGGCTATAAAAACACAGTCTATGTACCTGTTACCAGGTATCACAAACAGTATGGGACATGTAAGAGTTACTAAGCAACTAGTTACTTACTACTATTTTTTTCCCACTCAGCTTGTGATAGAACCAAATGACAAATACATTTGGTGTGTCCCTAATTAGTCCTGTCTTGTTTCTAAAATACCCTTGAGTGTCCTTAAGCCAGCTCTGAATGTGCTGTGGAATTTCCATTCTGATAAAGCCACAGTCAGGATTAGTTCTGTGGAGCTAAACCCTTGCACTGTGCCCTGTGGGTCAGAAAAGTTAATTTATTAAAGTTGCTAGAACAGAACCCGCATGCAGGAGCAAGAGTTGGTAGGTGGATATTTGTAGGGAGCAGTTTCTGTCAGCTTCATTTTATGGAGAGAAATCTCTAGTTAAAAGGACTTCCTGGAGGGAAGACTTCAGTACTTTATTCCTCCATTGATCTTGAAGGGTGTCACTAAGAGAACACTCATGGGACTGTACACAGAAAGAGGAAAATTTTACTGGACACAGCAAGCCATTTGTCAGCCTGTCAAGGATACAGAATGATACAGTTCTGCCCAATTCTATTTTCTCTCTCCTAACCTAGCACCTGTTTGTTTTTCCTCAATAGAAAGGAACATGCGCACTGGACCTAATTACATAAAGTTGGACCCAATTACATGAGCTCTGAAGCTTAAGATAAAATAATTTTAATTTGATTTGACATTTACATACAATTCACAGACTCCAAAACATTTCCTCTTTTCTACGATGGACACCACTTATTTCTTTCAAATTAGATCAGATATACAGATCAATTTGCAGTTACCATAAGGTTTTTCTTCAGTGACTTTTCCTGTAGCATCTAAAGTATCAGTAGCTTTGCCCAGTCGTCCAATAGCAGTGTATTTCTGAGAAGGAAAAAGAAAGATCCGTGACTTAATTTTTTTAAAAGGCTGCAAAACTGCAAGAACTTCAAACAAGAGTATCAACAATACTATATGAATAGACAATCCATGAACTTTGGGTCTGCAAAAGTAAAGGCGATAAGATAAAGAACTCAGAAGAAAATAAAACCAGCATTACATGGGCCTACAACTTCCATTTTAGAAACCCCAGAAAGAGGCAACACAGTATCTAAATTTTACTACAAATCCATCAATGTGATAAAGAAAATCGATTGGCAAAGTCACAATCTCTGTAGGATGTTATACGCTATCGTTTAAGCAACCCTTTATGCAGTTTTTCTGTTTCTTCACCATCAAAAAACAAACTAGAGAGGAAAAAATAGATGCACCAATTCACCTGTGAAAGCAAAGCATCCACTCCTAGGCAAAGCAAAACAACAACTTGGCCATTAAGTGCAGTGACATGCGACAGCCCAAAGCAGAAATAAGGAGGAGTTTTAAGTATCTGGAAAGTTCCATCCCATATGAGGAAGAGCTTCTCTACTGTGAGGGTGACAGAGCCCTGGACCAGGCTGCCCAGAGAGGTTGTGGAGTCTCCTTCTCCGGAGATGTCCCAGACCTGCCTGGATGCCACCCTGTGCCACGTGCTCTGGGTGTCCCCGTTTGTGCAGGGGGTTGGACTAGATGATCTCTAGAGGTCCCTTCCAACCTCAACCATTCTGTGATTCTGTGAAACCAGTGAGGAGTTGCGATGAGGATAACCAGTGTGAGACACCGCTGCTGGCTACAGGTTCTTAGAATACTTCTGATTCAGGGGTCTACCTTTGAAGAGTCCTTCCCTAAGAAAAACTCTCCAGAATACCTATCTGTAGGAATCAACCTGTTCCCAAACTAGGGGCTCTCATCCTTATTGCATTCCACATGGTGTCATTCTCTTCCACGGTTTCACGGTACGTGCGGCATGAGCCAGTGTCTGATGACACTGCCAGAGCCCTTCCCATGAAGTGACTGCCCTGGGGCTTGCAATGGAGAGCCAACATGATGACATTCCCTCCATAACATGAGTTTGGGCTTAGTCTGCAGAGACCTTTTTGTATTAAAATCTGCAGTTTGACCTGCTGTCTATCCCAGATTTCACTCAGACCTACAGCAAGTCCAGGGGTCTTCAATGAAAAGCATTTCAGTTCCCTAGGAAAGAGAAAAAAAAAAAAATCAAGATGTTCCAAATGCCTAGTTCCCAATAAGGATTCAAAGAATCTACTCCCAACTAGGCCAATATAAATCTGAACCGTGACATAAAAGCATGCTACGTCAATACACTCACCAAGTATGAAAAAGTTCAAATAGAAACAGTGTAGACATATAAAACCACATCTACAAAATGGGACTACTAAGACAATTCTTAGATTGTGTTCAGCACTCAGACACCTGTCTTGAGGCAGTTGCCATGAAATGGAAGCAGCAGG